CAGGCGTGCCCCTCCTTTCGCGATTTCGATCGAACGGGCCGTATTGGCCAGGCGCGAGGGGAGGCTGCAGCCGCTCGCGTGTCTGGGGGCTCAGCTCATCGTCGTAGCTTTCAGAGTCGGACGAGTCCGGATATGAGCCCGCAGGATGGTACGGTGTCCCGCCGGCTCTCCCGAAGTTGGATGGGATGGGAGGGATGACAGGTGCTTCGGGGTTTTGCCCTTGCCCGGGGATGACTGGTTGAGGCATTCCCATGTGCGGATTGGGTTCTTGTCCCCCCATGCCCATACCCATGCCCATGTTCATCGGAGGAGCGGGGAATGGATTGCCAGCCGTGGGCATAGCGCCTGACATGGTGGGCATGGGTGGTATGACTGGGTTGTTTACGCTATGCATCTGAGGCTGAGGGAATACGAGGGGTTGCCCGGGCATGTGTTGAGGCTCTGTATAGCGTGCACACGAGACGGAATGGGTGAAAGGATCTTCATTGCAAGGCACAAACAACACGCACGGCCGTAGTAAGCCTGCTGTGGCATGTTGGGAAATGGAGAGCCGTAAGCCTGCTGGCGCGCTTGCTCCTCTCTCAACGCCATGGGGTCCGCGTCATAGTCTTCTTCCGCGCCGTAGCCCCTCCGCGGACGATGCGACCATGTTCCTTTCGAGTACAAGCGGTCTTGAGGAAAATGTGATCGTGAGTGTGCAGTTCCAGACGAACGGCTAGGGTTGTTGCCCATGAGATGCTAGCGTGCAAGAAATGAGAGACAGAAGGTATCGCAGATAAAATGAAAGATAAAGGGTATCAGCGGGAGAAGATGGCACGAGGAAGTCTCATGGAGGACCGTCTGCAGCGGGAGGACAAAGCCCGAGATTGCTGCCGCGTCCACGATCTCGCAGAGGCGAATCGAAACCTCAAGGCAGCCACGTGGCCGAAGTCACGAGAGCGCGACGCGATTCGTAAACGCGTCTGCCTAAACGCGTCCGTCTCGACTCTCATGGCAATGCGACTCGGCCTACTCTTCTACCACCGTCCGACTTGCGCAATATACGCTTCTTGTGTATACCGATAAGCGCGTGGACTCACGTCTAGCCATTCGACGCAAGCCGCGTGGCCCATCGGTGCGACGTGGAAAATGGAGTCGGCCGCACAATCTACGACGCATCCATAGGGCAGATAGTGCGGCAACAACCCAAGTGCGACGCCAGAGTTCTCATACGTAGGGCCAGATAGCGGAGGAGAGGATCAAGGACGGACGGCGCGAGAAAAGGTCGGCTAGCGGTGGCTTATATGTGGGCCCGACGCTGGTTAGTAATTGCGTCATTGATTTTTGACAGGCCCTTTCTGTGCCAAGAGCTGTCTGCGAAGGAATGCCTCGGGCACGAACAACGCTGCGACGCGATCGGCCACTGGCGGCTGAGAGGGTTTCTCAATGAGGCATATCACTTACCGCTTTTGTAGTCGTCTTCGTCGAACCTCTGCCGGACCACACCGTCACCGTCATATCAACACGTCAAAAGCCGAAGGTCTAGATGAGGCTGAGAGGTTGGAACGTCGGAACGGGGTGCCACCAGCAGCGGTATGGTGAAGCCCAAAATTCAAGCAGGTATACATGCGTTCCGCGGTCGACTTTTGCGTCAAAGCTTGCAATGGTCTGTACCATGTAGTTGTTAGAGCACGGATCACAACTGTCGCGAGGACGTCAGTAATGCACGGTGCATTCCACTGAAGTACTAAGTCGTGTCGAAGGTATGCTTGCCTATATGCTTCCAAAGTCATGCGGTCCAGGAATACCAAGGATACCATCGACGATGGACCCACTCAAGCTGATGTACTGGGAGCCAATCTAGCTCGGTCCGTCCGAGTCGCCATGAACGTATGCATCGGTGAATCTTCTACTTTCCGTGTAGGGGCGCTATTGATCGAATCATTAGAAGCAAGGGTGTTACGAATGTTACGAGTCGTAGATCTAGACCTAGCTCACGTGTTCTGCTCAATCAGCCTGGAACAGAGCTGGAAGCGATGTCAAGATATGTAACGGTCTTCCATGAGGCAACTTGGAACCAGATACCAAGTGATCAACCGGCCGGCAGTATACCTCGACGACCCCCGGATGAACTCCTTCGAGGAGCTCTGGGTGGTATGCAAGACTTCATGCATTCATGACGTGTGATGATGTAGCCTCGAGTATGTTGCGGAATAAGCTTGATGTCATTGACAACATAGCAGAGAGGACTGCGGAGCTAAGCGCGCTTCGGGTCCGCTGCGGATACACGCCCAAAAAGGTAAGGAAGAAAGAAGCAAGGTGTATCTTTAGATCAAGCGCCCGCCGAGTTTGTGATCGTCATGAACGCATATGATGATCTCACGTTCACTTGCTTGATAGCTTCTCATCTCATCGGTCTTATGCATGCAGTCCTCCTACTACAGCACTCTACCTGAGCTTCAGCATACCACATGCCTCGGCTTATCTTGACCGCCCTCTCTGACGTCTCCAACTGCAGTCGCTCAGGCTGGCCGTATGTGGCAGCAAGCTTGGTGAGGATGCTCGAAAGGGCGAGTTCTGGGGAAGTTCCGTCAGAAACGGGAGCCCGTCGCGAGGAACAGCTGCAGAGAAGGCGAAGGGCCCCTTGCGCTCCGCACTGATAAGGGCGTGCATACGGTGGACGTCCGCTCGCTCGTCCTGCAGTCACTGTGGCGCCCCGCTCTCCACCGCTCTGTCCGCCTTCACCTTAGTGTCCGACCGCCGAACGTGCCTGTCCCATATACTTCCGTCCTCCTCGTCTGCGTCACATCTGTGTGCCTGTACGCCTTCCCGGGTAAACGTTTCTCTGTCGACCTGTGATATCACAAACGCCACCCAAGTCCTCTAAGAATCCTATATAAGCATCCGTCATGGGCTGCATTCCATCCAAATCCGCCTCTCAGTCCACCCCGGCACCCTCTACCATGAAGCTCCACCAACTCATTCGCCCCGACATTTACAAGAACGGAAAGCGACCGGCTTTCTCTGCCGCCTATGCTCGTGCAGCTCGTCGCTACGGCTTCGAGACCGGACGCAACGCCGGCTTTGCGAAGCGCAACAATGTCGTCGTGAAGGTCAAGAGCAAGCACGACAAAGATACCGACCACGAGGTCCCCGCTGAGTCTATCCAGAACGGTGCGTTTCGTCCACTACTCCGGCCCGCAGTGGTGCTCATCACAGCGTGTCCGGGAACCTCATTTATTCAGAGTAAGTGCATGCTCCCCCAGTAGCGCACAATGACGATAGCTGAACACATTCTCGCCGCCTGTCAGCCTCGAGTACGTCGTGCCCGTCAAGATTGGCACCCCGGGCGTCACGCTCAAGCTCGATTTCGACACTGGCTCCTCTGACCTATGGGTCTGGAGGTCCGTTATCTCGACACCTCTGACGTATTCCGAAACAAAATTCACATGTCTTTGTAGCTCCGAACTCTCGCGCGCCTCGAAGACCAAGGGCCATACCATCTACGATCCCTCCAAGTCCTCCACTGCCAAGAAGGCATCCGGCACCTGGAATATCAGCTACGGCGATGGCTCGTCGGCTTCGGGCAACGTCTACACGGACAAGGTGACCGTTGCGGATGTCACTATCCCGGGCCAGGCCATCGAGCTTGCCGAGAAGCTCAGCGCGAGTTTCCTCCAGGACGGAGGGAACGACGGGCTGCTTGGTCTCGCTTGGCCACAGATCAACACCGTTTCGCCTAAGTCTGTACCCACCCCGGTGGAGAACATGATCACCAAGAAACTGATCAACCCGGTCTGTAAATTTCGCCACTCCTGCACCGAGCATGACACTGACATCATGTGAATTATTATCAGTCCGTGTTCACCGTCAAGCTTGGCCGCGGAGACGAGGCTGGATTCTACTCCTTTGGTTCGCATGTCCCGCTCTACCATACGCCACGACGCTAAAACTGTCATTCAGGATTTATTGACACCTCTGTGACGCCCAACCCGATCACATACACTCCCGTGGACAAGTACGTATGCTCCGAGCCGTGCCCTATGGCGCGCCGGGGACCGTAGCTGATATTGCTTGAACGACAGCTCGCAGGGCTTCTGGCAGGTGGCATCCAGTAGCTGGTCACTTAACGGCGAGACGAGGGAGCGTTCGGGAAACACGACCATCCTCGACACCGGCACCACGCTCCTGCTCGTTGCCGACGACGTCGTCGATGCAATCTATGGTAAGTTTCTGTCCAGTGTATCATGTCAAATGTCTTGTTCTGAGCTCTTGTTATAGGTGGCATCGAGGGCGCTGTGTTTGACAACCAGCAGGGTGGATATAAGTTCCCCACGAACGCCACCCTTCCCGACATCGCCTTCGCCGTCGGTGACACGATCTACAAGGTTTGTCGTGCGGCTTCTAATGGACCATGTGCTTTCGCCGACCATTCATGAGACTGACATCGGAATTTACGCATAGGTGAACGCCAAAGACTTCGCCTTCGGCGACGCCGGAGACGGGTTCACCTTCGGTGGCATCCAGAGCCGCGGAGACCTCGATTTCGACATCTTCGGAGACGTCTTCCTCAAGTCTGTTTATGTCGTCTGTAAGTCCATACACAACTCATGGGACACCGCTCGGGTGACGGATGACTGATCACCGTCGGGCGTTCAGTCAACCAAGGCGAGAAGACGGTTGGGCTGGCGCAACGCGACGACTAAACAACACTCGCTCTGGGGGTTGTTGTAAGATGATGGAACATCGATATGTCGGGTTTGAAGCTCGGTGTTATCAGGACACGAACTTTCTCCTGTTGTTGTTGTGAACGTTTTATTTGCGGACTGTCAGCTCGGATGGCCTCGGAATGCCTGTAACAGTGTACTTGGATCTGCATTATACACGATACATACCCAGTGTTCGCTTTCATACGACCCTCCAAATATACGGGTTCGCTGTCATGATCCTCTCCGTGGTACCACGAGCACGCGGTGCATATATGCACAACTCCAATTTTCGAAACGTGCAAAAACATGCTGCTCCCTGGCGGGGAGTCGAACCCCGCTTTCGCGCGAACGTCACCAAGTATTGCCCAGGAATGACAGGCGCGTGTACTAACCGATATACTACCAGGGATGTGGACTAAAAAACTCCGAAGGACACTCAATCGATGCTTCCTCTCATCGGCGGCGCTGCGTGACGAGACGCGCGTTGCACGTGCTCGTCTACGTCACAGGGCGGGGTCACAGCACGCGGAAAGTTTCCAGCGCGAGCGTGAGCCTGCCACGGCCCAAGCGCAACTTCCTCCCGCTCGCCACCGTACACGCCGGCCCTCGTCGCGCTCTCCAGCTCTGCCCTAGCTCTCCCTTTGCTTTAACACCCACCATGACCGACGTCGAGGCCACGACGCCCACTATCAATGAGGACACCGTTATAGACAATGCCGAGGAGGATGACCCCGTACGTCACAGTGCATGTGCATGCATGGCCGCGTGGGACGCAGTGCTGACCTTGAATTCATGGTCGCTGTAGGAAATCCTGCTCATGAAGCAGCGCGTGGAGGAGATGGAGCGCGAGGCGACGAAGCTGAGGGAGCTGCAGGCCGCGGCGGAGAAGGCGGAGCGGAGTACGCCCACGGGGGACCAGCCGATGGAGACTGAGGAGGAGAAGGCGGCTACGGACAGCCGGAGCATATACGTCGGGAACGTACGTGTGCCCAACCGTGTGGTGACAGGCTTTGGTCGCTGAAGGAGGGGGCACAGGTGGACTACTCTGCTACGCCAGAAGAGATCCAGCAGCACTTCCAAGCGTGCGGTGTTATCAACCGAGTGACCATCCTCTGCGACAAGTTCACAGGTCATCCGAAGGGGTGAGTCACGAGCTCTGCCTTTGCCTCCGCAAAGCTGAGACCAGGCTCTTGCTAGCTACGCATATGTGGAATTTTCGGAGACAGAACATGTGGACGCCGCCCTCTCCATGGATAACTCCCTCTTCCGCGGGCGTCTTATTAAGGTTGGTCACGCATATACGTCCACCGAGACCAACATCTGACGGTGTCCCTCCGCATAGGTCACTGCAAAGCGGACGAACATCCCCGGATTCAACGCCCGTGGGCGGGGACGGGGCGGCTACCGAGGCGGCTACCGGGGGGGCTTCCGGGGAGGAGGCGCGGGCTACAGCCCATACCGTGCGCGTGGCAGGTGAGTGTGCATGCATCAGGTTCGCTGTCCACGCCATGCTGACGCACTGCTGCGCCGCGCAGGGGACGAGGCCGAGGCTTCTGAAGACTCGCAAAATGGACTGTGGATGCATGTTCTCGCTCTGCTCTGTACTTATTATCTATGATTGTAACCTTGGGCGGTACGCCTTCCTATTTTCTAACGCACCTTCTGATACTGTTCATATTTTGCCCATGCTGCATGTGTACTATGTCGTGCTCGACTGCTAAAAACGCCCCTGCTTCCAAAGTCTCGTTCTTGTCGTACGATGTCCAACGTAACTATAGAAATTCGACAGGTAGAATGTCTTCCGTTTGCCTCCTATCGCAGAAGACCCTCTAAACAATCTTGTGCACTACGTTGTATGCATATATACGTCAAGGTATGATTGCCGGTACAAGCTGAACCATTGACGAAGCTAAAGAGCGAACTTAGCGACACCCTGACCTACTTGGACAGCCCACATGCATTTGCGAGCCGCCAATATCGTCTTGCGCGGCCACACCTATAGATACTCGGCACTCCACACATCTCTCCGAGTCCCAAACCTAATCCCTGCTGAGTCGTCTCGCCGCTGTTACATAGACATTACGAAAAGCGTACACTAAATACTGATTACAAGTAGCCCATAGGCCGCAATACATCCCGTGCATATCCAAGCGCACCAGTCCGAGGTTCTGCTACAAGTACAACATGGAGCGCATCCCTCCGTCCCGCCTAAGTTTACCAAGTCATGATCCTAGTGGCCGCCTTGATTTCGATGACCGCGTTTGCAGCCTCGCTGTCGGCGACAGGTTTTGCGACGGGCGCCGAGCTCTCTGCTTCGGCAGGGTCCTCTCCCGACTGCCAACGTATTGGCGACCCGAATCCGCTCACGACAGTCTGGGACGACCGCCGGGGCATGACGTGGAGGAAGATGTCTCGCGTGCTTTGGTCCTGGAACTCTGCGTCGAGCGCTGCGAGCGTCGACCGGGCATTCAGTCTAGTAAGATGTGTATGGTCAGCCGAACCCGAAGCTAGTGGGACGGAGGCGATGGGTACTCACGCGGCCAAGACGGAATTGATGTAAACTGGGGGAAGAGCAGTGAGTACCCACACAATCCCTACAGAGAACCCTGACAGAATTGTTTCCTACTTTTCACGCATACCAGGTCGAGCGCACCGAAGAGCAGGTTGTCCGGAGAGATCACGGCCTTTATAATCCTCTGTCAGCTGGTCGTCTTGGCTCGCCTCGGGCCGAAACTCACGTTGCCGAAGCACATAGTGGCGAATATTCTTAGGCGGGAACGCAGCGGCGGTCAAAGAGAAGCCGAGAGTCTAAGTTTGTGTTGAACTCACAAAGTAATCAAACCTTCGGGAGTCGATGCAGCATACGGTGAAGTGCAGCAGTGGTGCGGGCAGCAGGAACACTCACCCGTGCAAATCGCATATGCCGTTAGGAGGTCGAGTACAGAGTTAGTCCTGCGTGCATCTTGTCAGGCCGCATGCGTTGTCAAATAACTCAAAAAGGCACGCACCGCTTGAATCCATTCCGGCTGCGGTGCAGAGCTACCACGAGCACGGTAGTCATGATGGCGTCGGCGGTGATGACGACGCCGTAACCTCCGGATTGTAACCACTAGATCCAGGGCTAAAATGAGGGAATTGCTAAAGATGGCCAGATAGAGGCGCACAGAGAAGTTGTTCAGGTCATGAACGCTGTCCTGTTTGAATCTGGAGATGGTGAAGCAGTAAGCCCCATATATACCAATGCCAAGCATAGTAAGGAGACCTACGCTACCCAGGTGAATGCTGTCATGAGCAATGTCAGTTATACATTCCGTTGTAACCTCGCATATAACCGACCTATCGCAGCAGCTAGACACGGGACACGAGAATGACGCCGAGGTCACGGTGAATACACGCAAATGTCCTACACCCAAAATTGACGTACCGAGCTCGACGACGAACATCCCGCCCTACCATCTCGTCGTCAGATGGCTGTGATGGAAAGACAAAAATACCGTGAAAACCCACCGTATACTTGACAAGCGGCTGATACATTTTGCGAACTGCTTACAGGGTCAGACTCTGTGCACACCGCGTTACTTGTGGTACTTGCCCATATATACACGTCGAGCAAAGAACCTGCATAGCACGCTCAGCACATACATATGATCCAGCCAGCAAGAAGCTCACATTTGGCATGCCACAATTATGATCCCCTAAGAAGCATGTAGTCAGTTGAGGGCTACGCCAGATATCTGGAGAACCAGCTCTAGTACCGTAGTCACTGGCTGCAGCTAAGGAAACTCGCGAGTTAGTGGTACTCAACCGTCTGTTTTGGTTGCGACCGCGCACGTTCAAGGACCTACGGAAGACTGGGTCAGCTTCGATACGAGGGGTTAAGCTTGCCGTACGTACCAGAGTGGGTCCGCGAGACTATCGGGCGTAAAATACTTTGAGATAAAATTTCGATAGCTTGCGTCGGGTCAAAGGGGTGTTCATCGCAATGCAAGGTCATAACGTACTTTGTATGTATTGCTAAGACTGTATGCAGGGCATCGAGTACGCTAGCAGTCTTGTGATTAGCGCATGGCCCCTTTCCAGAGTAAGGCTGGAGTTGAATGCTCACACGAGCACCGCGACCTGAAGAGCTCAGATGTTAACGCCGCTACAACCGAGAAAGTGTGTCCCCACTCACGTAGTAGTTGACCAGCCGGCTATTTGAGCCGTCAACGACGGCAAACTGGTACACCTGGTGCAGTGCCACGCCGTAAAGGCTGTAGGATAACGGAAATCAGATGCGATGCTCGTTGAATGAACCTGGAAGCCCGGCTTACATGAGGCTTATGAACGTACAGACGAGGAGCGCGCCGTAGGCGGGTCCCAGGCCAACACGGTGAGGTAACAACTCGTTCGATACCTCTGCTGCGGAGTTCATAGAAGTGGATACAGAGTGGATGGGGTCGATTAGGTGCAGCGCTTGCCCCCGCCTCATGCTTAAATGGCGCGGTGCCCCGAGGCCACCCTGCGTCTCGAACGTCAAACTGCATACATGGAATCATCGCATCTCGAACTTACCGTACGATGGGGACTGGCCGGTGGAGGGACTGCGCCGCCTATGAGATATATTCTCACATTAAATGCTTACATCGCGGCAGTATGACACTCACGAATTGTACAATGTGTCGAGGACAGTTCGTTGGGACGAGGCGGAGGGTGATACAACCACAGCTGACGGTTGACAGCAGTGCGCGCAGTACGTGAAACGCCACTGGATGATAGGTTCCGCAGGAGGCGCCTTCGAACACGCAATCACGGGCAGGGGCTGGAGAGTTCCCCAGCTTACCATGATTAGTCTGGCGTCTTTCTTGTAAACCGGACCGGGGGAATCTACGCAAGAAGATGAGTTGTGGTATCTCGAAAATATCTCCTGGAGGTCACGAGAGAACACGCGAATGGCTGCACTTCGACAGTCGCGGCCGTTGGGAGCTATGAGGGCGCTTGGGTGACGGGTCCAAGGTCCTCTCGAAGCTTGGTGTGCCTGAGCCGCACCCATCGGAATGATTACTGGTGTCCGTGGCGCTGGCTACCCGGACACCGTCACTGATCGTGGCGACTGGAAGATTTTCCTCCAGCGCGGGCTTCACCAAGGTTGCAGCGACATCGAGTATGCAGCACAGTGACACATCACAAGCCCCAGCAGAAACATTGGTGACAATCCCTTTGAGCTATGGCTCAGCTGGGACTTGGACTTGAAAGATGTGACATGCGGGCGTTTCGCCCATCCTGAAAGGCAGTGTCAACCGGGGGTGATGTGGGAACTGACATCTGCTGAGTGCGGTGGTGGCAAGTCGGTGACACCGGCTATAGGACCCTGTGCGAAGCAGGTCGAAGCTGAGGTACACCCGAGACATTGGCGCACCATGAAGTGGC